GAAATATCGAACATTTCTCCGTGCGGAACAGTTTTGATTTGTATTATAATGTCTTTTTGAGAGAAGTGCATTGCGCGGAGGGAGGGCGGATTACCCGATCCTTTGGCGCGCTGGAATTAATATCAACTCGTGAAAACAACGCAGTGTCCCCGAGGTTTAAGATTGTATAAATCTTATTGCCGTATGCAGCAGATGAAAGCGGATAGGTGGGGTTACCAGGAGCATGGCTGGGGTGCGCAGACAGGTTGTCGTAGCGGGTTGATTCTTCGCGGAGGGTGGTTCTGTGGCTCTCGGGAAGCTCACGGCACGATGAGGGGTTCAATGTTCAAACAAGGCGACGCTGGCTCCAGGATGAACACCGTGTTTACCTTGCGAATGCGCCGACAAAATAGGCCAGCCTCAAAACTTAAGGAGCGGGATAGACGTCTGAAACCTTTTGATGAGCGAAAGGTCTCATGCACGTGTATTTAGAATACGCGTAATGCTGTTGGTGGACATTTCAAGTCTAAAGTCTAAAGGGAGATAAAAATGTCTTGCAACATGCTATCTTTTTACCACTGAATTAAAAACGTAACGTATTTTTGTGTATAACCTTAATTGAATAGTTTCTTGTTTACCGAACGGTCCAGATCTCTTCACGTGAAAAAACACATTTCTATTCGAAAATAAATTTCTTTACTATTCTTTCCTTATAGTTGTGCCGACGGATGTTTTTACTATTTTCTCTGATTACTTAGGGACATTAGTTTTAATGCGGTCGGCCAAGTTACGCGCCCGTTTGTGCTTCTGTTTGCTGACTGAAATTGGCGTCATTTCGTGACGGCACATACATAGACCTATAATCAAGACATAAGGCCTGTTTTCATCAGCTCCAGTGTGCCAAATAATCCAAACAATCCGCTATTTTAATTATCCCGATCACTACTTTACTTTAAACATACATTCGGTTTTTTTTTACTTCCAAAGTGAATTAAAAGTAACTATTAAAAGTTGATGAATATTAATTTTAACAAAATGAAACTACCTTTAGTCGAGATGGTATCTATATCTATGCGACCTCGAACAAAGCAATATGACCATTACATGACCTCGAACTTATAGATTTGACTATGGTCTCTCAAAGTAGTATGCATTCGTATTTTATTGCTTTTTGCTTAAATACTCATTCATTTCATATTCTTAATCACCTAAAAGCAAGCCTATACTGAGAGTCCAATCATCTGCCAGTCACTCAATTCGTCTAATTTCACCAAAATTTATTCCAACAAAAAAAACACCTCAAAAATTTAGATAATACATGTACATTAAAAGGGATGAATGATTCCCATTTTCACTCATTTACTTTCAACAGCTGTGAAATCACACACACACAAAAAAAAATGTAAGGTAAAAAGAAAATACATGCCAGAACATTTGTGTAATCTAGACTGCTTCTTTTATGTCAATTATGTAAGATTTCGACTTTGTTTCGATATCTCCTCTTCAAGAGAGTAGTCACCCCGTTTAACATGTCATTTTATCGATTTCTCCCAAATTCAATTTTGGTTCAATAACAACACTCATGCAAATCTAATCAAAGTCATAAAACTCCGCCGAATATCGTAAGTGCTTATTAATTTAACATGTTTAAAAGACACTCAGCGTACAGTGTCACTGGAGCTACGGGCCATGTAGCGCATCGTATAGAATTCTGGTGAACGTTTCGGTTCCTGATCAGACGACAGACCTCGGGCGAGAATCATCCCGCCGCCATCATTCCCGCCAAAACGCCTGCGGAATGGGGCACGACCCTCACGGAAATAAGCAACCAACTATCAAAATTAATTTCTTCCTCCTCGTAGAGGGGCGCGCGCACTCGTATGAACGCGTGAACAAACGAATGTTATGGAAGACACACACAGGCACAAAAAGCATTATAATATGATTGCACTTGTTGCATAGTGACGTTTCGATGCCAATAAATAAATATTCAACATGACTTAACAAAAAGAAAAAGAATAGATTGAACATATTCACTAAAATTGTTTTTCAAATAATTATCTAGCTACTGTGGGGGTAATGCTACACATCTGTGATCTTCGGCAATTAAATGTCTTCTTCCTCTTCTACTTCATCTTCTTCTTCTTTTTCCACATGCAACGGGATTCTCAAGAACGAGAACTTTTCTATTACCTATATTGGCCAATTGGAAAATTCGAGAAGACTTTATGTTTCTTCTTTGCTTGTACAACTTTTGTCAGCTATATCTCATTGCCAGATTTTGAATTGACAACTTACCCCCATTCAAATAACCTACCCCTCCACTTTTCATTCCAAAATTGTATAGCGAAGTACCTGCATGGGCTTACATTATATTTAGTCATCATAAAACAAGGGAGGGGGTTCGTTAACGTCACTTGCACTTTTCCACCCCATCTTACATCAACCCTGTACCATACTTGTTTGTATTCGTGTGAAGTTGAGAATAAAATTACTGTAAAATAAAAAGCTAAACATAAACACACACAAAAGTAAATAGACTGGAACTGATTCAACCTTAAGAAACTATTAGATCTAAATCGAAGTAATAATGAGTCTAAATTTTTAAAACGAATAAGAATTTCAATGACTTATACCAAATAACAATATAAAGACAATAATATACAAAATATAAAAGTACGTATAAATCAAGAATATAGAGAATGGCTGGATAGCCCAGTTTTGTTAACATGACAAAACTGTTCTTCCTTGGGGTTCAACAAATAATTAAATGAAAAGTGAACGTACCTTTAAAAATAAAACAAACTGTTGAAGACATCTAGAAACACAAAACACATCTATAACTATAATTAGCCCGCCCCATCCCATCTCAACAATATAAGGACTACCTTATCTTCGATAAAGCTGTGTGATTTATATCGAATTTACTTAGTGATTTTTTATTTTCCACACACTCATTTAATATTTTATGATCCAGCTTTTTAGTCTGTTATACTCATTTATTAAGTCGTTATATTCATCATTTTGACAATGATGAATCAAAATGTAAATGCGAACACTATCCATTCATTTCTTGCTTTTTATGAGTGTGTTTTGATGGACAAATTATCAGCTATAATATTAAATGCGTCCACGAGATAAGTGCGAACACAGTGTAGTGGAGAGGGAAAAAACGCCATGCGAGTTTGCCGGAAACGTGATAGGATGGCTGTGGTGTAGCAACGTTGCTTCTCGATCAAAGGTGGAAAAAGGTCACCGATTTGCGAGGGAAAACGCGCCGTTTTGAGCCCGAGTTGGGTTACTTTTCTATCGACAAAAGCTTCATCGGAAAGGGTGTCTGTAAGGGGTAGAAGTGTCTGATTAGGTGCGAGCATACCAGGCAGCTAGGCTCGGGCTGCATGCACGCTCGCGCGGCGGGGGAGATTAGGCCTTGGAGTTATTGGCACACGGCAACGGGCTACTAACGGAGACGCCGTGTCTAAGTCCCCGCCGGGGAAGCCCATCTCTATACCGATCAATGCCTGTCTACCTAAGGGGTAGTCATCAGCTAAAAGTACACACACATCACCACCGTGAAAACCATTTTAGAGCACCGAAATAAGAAGAAACAAAATACACACATAGAAGGGGTAGATAGTGAGTGTAGGTGAGAGACTGTTATGCACTTCCATCGGTGCTTTCGTCATTAAGCTACTCGTCAAATCGACCAATCAAAAGCCTCGGAAGGTATGATGCCAGCCACTATTGCTTCGCCGACTAAAATCGAAATTGATGTTACCTGACCCCACACCTAATTCCTCAGCCCGTATTTCTCCGCACAACACGTGACTATCCTAGCTTCCCTATAAAGGCGCCACGAATAGTCTCCATTCAATGCATGGTGGGTGGCTTGCTCTCTCCAAAAAAAAAAACGCCGAGAAGACCGACCTGGACCTTCAATATCGATTTCAAGCATTTTTACCCCAAAAAAATGATTTTCACCCGCTAATACTCAACAAAATTCCCACGAAGCTAAGAAGATCGGAAAGAAAAACTCATAAAATATAAAAAGCTCTCTGAAACAGACTACCCATTCAGGAGCTTTAATTACACGCTACGATTTGTCGAGGGAACAGGTCGGAGGTATTGAGAAAATAAAATGTGGGTCAAGTTATCCAAACAGTCGTTAAGCCGGCTATTTGAGAAGATACCCGATAGCACCAAATTTCCCTAACATGTCTTTTGATTACTTTAATGATTTTGCCTCTTGTTACTCACGCAATCAATTACCTTAATATACTCTTTCATTCTGTAACGTCGCGTTTGCATTAATTGAACATCGCCAGGTTGGACTATGTTTTATAAACTCATTCATTCTCATTTGATCAATTAGATTTTTTTTAAATATAAAGCGCTTTAAAGGAAAGGTTCACCAAATCGAATAAGTTTCTTAAAGAGGGGTGTAAAATTCGTGACAAACACATATAAAATCATTAACAAAATATACCAATGACACTTCACGATTAAGGTTTCAAGGGTGTGCTCAGCTAAGCCAACCAATGACACTGACATCTTTCAATATTCGGAGTGATTACCAATACTCTATTCCATTTTACAGCAAAAGTAGCAAAATCATTTGTGTCTTCACGCAATATGTTCGTATACTTGGTTATATACGAACAATCCCAAAGTGATACGGCTCAAATTCAAATATAATAACTTTCCATGCAGACATATTCAAATGCAATATAGTATCACAAAATATGTATTTTATGAAAAATTGAACAAGCACAAAAGTTAAAGGTCACATTACTCAACTTAATGTCTCGACAAGAAAAACAAAATACTTCGGTTATATAATTTAATGTGTTACTGTTATTATCGGGATTAATTTTTTAACTAATCCTTTAATTAAAATGAATGCAATCCATTACTGATTGATACGATTCTAAACTATTTTCTTCAGTCGTGTCTTTTAGTTGACTACATTACCAAACCCTTTAGCTTCTTATTGTTTTCTCTTCTCGATTTCATCATTTCAGAACCAAATGGAAGAAGCAGATGATGGCGCGTTTAAAGATGGCCCACCGCCAAGGCCTCTGGGCGTCACCCTTCATGCCCACCTGGTTCGGCTCAGCCCTGGCATCCTACCCAGCAGCGGCCGCAGCAGCCACCTACGGTTCTCTCCTCGCCGCCCCTAGACCAGTCATGCCCGGAGGACCAGGACCAGGACCAGGACCACACCCAATGCACCTACCAATGCCGCCACACCTCACACCACACCCCTCCTCCCTAGCCGCTCCCACTCCGCTTCACATCGCTACATCGTCCAGTTCGCCTCGAGGTTTACTGGCGCCACAGCAGTGAACTTGAGAGAGACGAAATCATAAATCCAGGCGATTTTTTCATGCTTTACCTCTATTTCATTTGAATATGCAAATTTTGAACACAAAAGGGGTCACGGACCGCATACGTCACCTGCATACATGATTATGATAGCCTATTACTTACCAGGTATCTGAAAGCAGCAGATGTCCTTATTTTTGGCGTTCGTTATTCCCTATTTAAAACTAAATATATCAGTGTATGATAATGATAAGAATTTATCTCTGTAATTTGGTTAACCAAAAACATGCAGATCAGAATGACAAGTAATTTGTTTATTTGTTACATCTTCCGTCGTCAAAGACGTTAAAATGAAATGTTAAAGGTTGAGGTTTGAAAAACAAAAAATAGTAGTTAACTCTATAAAATTAAAGGAAGCAACTACGTATTAAAGTATTATTCGCATATCAGATAAATAGACACCAGAATGAATTTATCTTCTTTTGTAGAAATAATGATGTGATTGAACTAATCATTAAATGTAATTAAAAAATGAAATAAGTATAGGTCTCCGCGTTTATTCATTAATGCAATTTCCATATGACTTTATGATTGTATTAAATTTCGCCATTAGTCTTTATTACCGGTTTATCACCTTAACTTTATTATCTTTTCAGGCAGCTGGCTTTTCTTGCCATGTATGAATTATTATCCGGGCCAGCATTTAATTTGTGAGCGCACTCTTAATGGTTTGCAACGTATTGAGGTGTGCTTTTTGCACTGAAAGACGGATATTTATAATCATTATTTTGTTTGTTTCCGATATTTATTGGTTAGAATATTAGAATAATTGGTGTTCGATGTTACTATTTTGACAATTTGGACGTTTCTCAGAAATAGCAAACACTTATTCCTACGTTTTAAGTCATTTTGACATTTAGCACGCGTGTGCGTTTTGCATTGTCTAAGACATAAACATATAATTTAGCAAATCCAGTCCATAGATAGAGTCTCTGCGCCAATTACCATTCATGATTGACCAGCCATATCATTGATTATCAAATTTTAGCTAATCACCAGGGTTTCTTGAAAGCTCTGTAATAACTAATACCGTGTCAATATACGGCACTCCCAAAACCCAAATTACATTATTAAAAATGTTGATTTACACACTTTTTTTGTTGAATTATTATTTTTTTAAAGTCGTGCTGGTTCATACGGGTCACTGCGGTGGACTTTACAACATTTTTGTAAAGATTACAAAGATTGAATTGTACATATTGACTTTTTATTTATTGAGAATTGAAGAGATGCATTTGAGAGAGGGAATAGACTGCCGTAATTATATTTGCGAGAAGGTTATCTCATATATATATGATAGGGTTATCTCATTTATATGATAAGGTTATGTCATTTTATATGAATGAAAAATGTTATTGTTATCACCATGAAAATACACACTGATTAGAGCATGGTAATTTATAATGATATCTATAATGAAAATTGTATATTGGAGAAACTAGAATAGTTTTACTAGTATTTTCAGAAAAGAATTTAGATACAAACCGAACAGATGAATCAGATAAAGCATATTTATATTAGATTCTATATTGTGATAAGAAGATTTGTATAATTGAATAATCTTGTAAGATGTGGAATTATTTAGACTTCTTTAGTACTTGTTTCAATGTCAGAATATATGGCTGAATATTGTTCGCATTTTATATAAGAATGATTTGATGTATTCAGGTTGAATAAAGGGATTAGATGGGAATGATGTTTAATGTTTAATCAATTTCTCTCTGTGAGTAAACTTATACTGTTATTACTATTATTATCATTAATTCTAAAATGATAATAATAAGAGTATGAATGATAAAATAATGATGACGGAAATGATGATGGTAATACTGCTGCTGATTGATGATGATGATGATGGTGATGATGATGATGATGATGATAATAATGATATTAATACAAATTATAATAATGATGATAATGACGATGATGATGATGATGGTGATGATGATGATGATGATATAATGATAATGATAATAATACAAATTATAATAATAATAATGATGATGATGTTGATGATGATGATGATGATGATGATGATGATAATGATTAATAATACAATTTATAATAATAGTAATAATAATAATGAAGATGATTATTATGATGATTGTGATGATGATGATGATGATGATGATGGTGTGGTGGTGGTGGTGGTGGTGAAGATGATGATGATATGGTAATACATGTAGTAACACCAGCAATAATACTGGTAGTACCGAAGTTGTGACGTCATAAAAATCTATTTTTAGAATTTCTCAATTTTTTCTTCCTAACCATTAGGAGCCAGAGCATATAACACTGAGTTCCTATAGGAAATATATTCATTCAGATGGTCATATCTCAGCCAATACTTAACATATTCAATTGGTTTTTCGACATTTGGACATTATTTTTGATGCTTTTTCGGGAAATAAAGAAAAAACAGAAATTCTAAAAATAAAATTTTAATGACACTTTTGATTATGATTTTCTACTTCTCTATATCTTCAATAAGAAAAACATGATCAATTAGACCGAGTGATAATACGGCATTGAAATCATGATTTTCCCACCTTTCAAATGAGCTATTAGAAGATGATTGCCTTGTTAAAGACAAAAATGGCAAGGATTTGAACTCCTTTTGGAGAGAATAAGAGTCTAACAAATGCAGGCATGCTAGAACAACAAAAGCCCTTTTTGATTCCTCTAAACATGCTAAATTTAGAATTTTTACTCCCCCCCCCCCCCCCAAAAAAAAAAACACAACAACAACAACACCCCAAAAATAAAGACCTTGGATATAATAGAAAATACTCTCTGTAATTTTGACCAACAGGTCAGTAAACTATCTCAAAGTCCCTCTGCGTCCATTCGTCAAGAAAGGGGATCCCCCTAATCAATTAGCGCCTCCCCCGTCATCAACTATAAATAGCACGACGTGACTATGTCAAGATGTCAGCTCAAGATGTGGTTGAGGTTAGAAAGTGTCCATATTCGAGGTTGATCCACGAATTTTACGCATGTTCAACTCAAGAAATAAAAACCTTGTAAAATTACAACTTTATAGCATTAAAAATCTATTTCTAAACATCTTTGAATAATAACAAAGACCACCATAATCTTTTTTCTTTTCTTCAAATAATTGTTTATGATTCTTATGTCAACCAACTATGAAGGAAATATGCAAAATGAGTAGGCCTGTGAGAATTTCTTAAGTTGCACTATTTTCTCCATGCACTGAAAAGTAATTGAAACATTCATTAGAACATTAGAAAATTATAACATTGGAAATAAGATATTAGAAATAATAACCACGTAATGCTTTTATGAATTTATACAAATATTGAAAAATTATGAAAGCTGTACACACATGACACTCTTGATGGTTTCACCTCAAGGTCACAATTCAACCAGTTTGAGAGTATGTTCTATTATTGAACTGATATTTATATTAATATGTCGATATGATTCATATAGATAATCGTGTTCAGAGCAGGAACTGGCATAGTTGGAGGCCGTGACAATGTTGGGGCAGTTAGAGCAGTGTTATGAGAGAGTGAGGGGAGAGGGGGAGAAGAGGAAGGGGAAAAGGAGAGAGAGAGAGAGAGAGAGAGAGAGAAAGAGGGAGAGAGAGAGAAGAAGAAGAAGAATTGTCACGTGTAGGAGGAGACAATGAGAAAAGGGGTGGAAAAGGAGAGTGAAATTTAGAGTGGAAGCAGACGGGACAAGAGGAGGAGAGAGGGAGGAGAAAAGCAACAGAAAGATTAGAAGCACATTAACAAAAGTGCAGAAGAGGAAAGAAAAGGAAAGTAAAGAAGAGAGGGTAGGAGCGAAGTTTAAATCAGATTGAAGAATGAAAATGTGTGTTGACGTGATGATAGATTGTAGAAAAGTAAATGAAAGATGTGATACAGAGAGTGATTCAAAGTTATTCAATAAGTTCTTAAAACAATTCAAATTTATTTCAATTGGTTTGTAGAAAAGTGAAGAAAATATGTGATACAGAGAGTGATTCAAATTTATTCAATAAGTTCTTAAAACAATTCAAATTTATTTCAATTGGTTACTGCAACAACAAAGGGAATCAAATACATCTCTTTTACACGCTGCATCCAATTTCGCAATTAACATATTCTGGGACTCCACAACAGTGATTTTGGAATATTCAGCTATAGCGTTCGTATTTAAAAGTGTGCATTATTATTATGTCAACTTAAAATCAGGAATTATACAAATGATTTTTTTTGTTCACACGATTAAAGTTCAAGGAATATCGACCTAACCTCCCCCCCCCCCCAAAAAAAAAAATGATAATAGTGATAATAAATAAAGGTGCATGTATTTCATTAACTTCAGTGTCTGAACTTGAAAAAGGTGTAATTTATATTTTAAGAGCATAAGAACTAGGACACTTGAGATTGTACGTGCCATCAATTTCATCGACACATTTTCACGTTCCTTTTCCCGCCTTCAAGCTAGCTCCTTTCGGAAGCGCGTTCCCACATACACACACCCATCAATCAAGAGGCGCTCGCTCAGCCGAGAGTCTCCCGACAGCTCAAGGGGAGCAGGCCGTGTAGTTGAAGGGTCGGGTTTCGGTGTCAACGCGCTATTCCTTATCGAACACTATCGGTACTCGGCAGTGTGAAGTACATCCTGTATAGAGTATAAATATACGATGCCAAACTTCCTTTCATAATGTCATAGAGGGTGAGGTATGTTTTATACTGAATAGCAGTTAGGTTAACATCATCTTTCCTCAGTTTTAGTTAAAAATAAAGATGTTTATTGGGGAGAATAATGAAGTATGTGGATAAAAATTGATAGATGAAAATGAAGTAGGCCTATAGACCCTACACAAGGGGCAAAAGCTTTAATTACAAAAACGAATAATCATAAAATGAACTAGCAAAAAAACAAACAGAAAAACCCAGAACAAACAAGAATAAAAAGAGTCAAGGAATTTAAAAGGAGCAAAAGTGACTAATTTTTTTTGTCCTTTTTTTCTCGAATCCTTAAAAAAAATAATAGAATAGAGCAATAAAGTCGTTCAAGAACTGTTATTGATAAGGATTATTTTCTGTACCACCATCTACTTCCTCTTCTCTTTTTATTCATTTTTTAAAAATATTTCTTCAATAGTTAGTGTTTTGTTTTTTATATTTATGATTAAAAACAATGTAAAATGACAATGAAAATGAGATAGAGAAAAATGATAGTTGGGGGATGGAATAATTCATGGTTCTATCATATTGACAACTGGAATAGAACAAGGTTTTAAACATTGCGTTATCGTCATTTTTTTCCTCTAATATATGACTTAGAT